CAAAGTGAGGCATCACACGATATGCAACATGTTTAGTGCATTATGTGACCACAAACTAAACACCTAATGAAAAATAACAGCCACAAGTAACATGGATTGTCAGCATATTGAATTTAGATCAAAGCACCTGAGCTGTGCTAAAGTTCACAGAGATGTGAGAACTTGAGTTGTGACTAAAGACTGCATGTCTTTGTCTAACATCAGCATTTCAATACTGAGTGCATAAATGTTTTTATTTTATCACACCAACTGCAAAAATTTAATCATATAACACTATAAAAAGAGTATACAACCATACAAAATAGTATCCATTTCCTGTAAGCTGATGTTTGCTGATTAAGATCGTGTGGTGACAACAGCATTCAAACAGATAATCAGCTACAGTGAGTGTGAAAAATCATTTGAAAAGAACAAACAATTTATTTGAGAAAAACACATCAGAAAACATGCTCATTTACAGTGTGTTTTTAAACATTTGCTCTCATGTTTCTATGGTAAATACAAAGCTGCAGTCAGCACACAATGACATGTTTATAAATCACGTGGAAGGTTTAAATAAATATGTAACAGCATCTTAAAAGTTCATTAATAATATTTTCAGGCCAACATGATAACAACCCTCCACCAAAACATTGAAAAACAATCATGTACATGATATAACAAGATGTAGGTGATATAAAGCATGTACATATTAGTCTTCCTGTCATGTTGCCTTATGGTTCCAAGCGCTGTCACCAATCTTTGCATTTTGTTATTATCTCATGACACTTGTTTAATCAACTACCATCTCTCCTATGGACTTTTTACTGTCTACAGTCTCAGATCAACACAGCCCTGCCCTTCCCATATTAGATTCTTGATGAATGTGTGTTGTTGTTATTCAGCCTGGTTCAATGTGCCCCTTTTTAACTTTGAGCACCCGCCCCTTTAAACCTCTCTGCACGTCCCTGGATAAAAATGCTTGTTTACTGTCTTTTCTGAAAAGTGTATAGTATTGTGTTTTTATGGTAAATGTGATGTTACAGCCAGGACATGTTGACAGTCATGTTTGTCAATCAGGTGGAAATAGCAGCTCTATCAAAGTCTAAAGGCTCACTAACAACCTATTTTATTTTTTATAAGTTGAACACTAATAAAAAGCAAAGCTTTACAAATGATTAATTCATTATTAGTAATATCTTACTAATGCTTAATAATATGTAGTTATGAATAAACCTGTAAACCAGTCTGTACCTGTTAGCCAACACTGATGCAGACTTTATCTAAATATATCATAGTGAATATCAAACTTAACTTAATATCATGGTCTGGCAGTTCTCACTGGTCGGCCTGCCTGTTGTGTCTGTGTGGATGTTGCTTCTCCCTCCCCCTCTCCAACTCCATGTGTGTTGGTTTTTGGTTTTGTGGAAATGTGTGCTTCCATCACTTTGGAGCCATCTTTTGGGAAGAGTGTACAAAACTGTTCCATCATTATCTCACTGTAAATACATTTCACTGTCTTTGCTCAAGAAGCTTCGTATTCTGGACTGCTCATTCCCACACCTTGACACTTAATGTTTAGTTCTGGCTTTCTGAGAATCAGGTTCTGAAACCACTAGCTTCTACATTTCCATTATTGTAACAAAGTCATGTTCAGTATAACTCGCTTATCGCATACATAATTTATTTCCTCCACAGAAACAGATTATTTTCTTTCTGGTTTATCACTTTCTTGTTTGCTGCTTATTAATATTTTTTGTAGTTAAATTATTAAATTTACTTGCTTTATTTTTGTTTTCTGCTTTCACTGCTTCATAAGATCTTGTACGCTCATTTTCAGGTCAGTTGTTTTTAGATTAGTGGAGGTTATTTAGGTACCCTGGTTAAGCCCCTCAGTTTAGCCACAGCCTGTTTTAGTTTCCTTTAAGACAAACTTTAATCTCATTGGTTGAACATCCCAATGACGAGGTTTGAACAGCAGTTCGGAGCTGCTGTGCTCACAGTGAAAGCTTTTTACTTCATATGGTCTCTTTTTAATTTATCCTACTTGCCAAAGGTTTATCATGTTGGCCGTGTGTGTTGAGGCCTTTGCTATAGTTCGCAAAACAAAATACACTGAATAGACATTCATAGGTCATAGTAATGTTACTTCTGCTGGATTGTTTATATTAATTCTGCCTCACATTCCACAGACAAAAACAACTATACAGACTCATAGAAACAGAAAAGACACAGATAACAGTTGGGATTTTTAAAATGGTGGAACACTGAGATATTAGCCAGGGGAACACACACAGTTAATACATAAGAGAGGGTAATAGCCAGATTCTGTAGCACATGATTAACATTGTGAAATGGTCTATTTCTAAACTTTCTTAACACCAAGAAGTTTTGTTGAACAAATCTAACCAAGCAGAACATGTAAACCAAAAATAAGAATAAAACAAATATCAGCTATGTTAAAGTTGTTAAGCTTCAGTTTCTCAGTCTCCTTGGTCAGGGTTCTGTGTTTGGCCCACTAATACACCACATCCTTTTCCTGTTGGGGCTCATATGTCGTCTCCTCACACTGCACAGGCATAAAGACAGGAGGGCATGACGTCAATTTTTTTTCTAAATTAGAACTGAGGCAAGTATTTCAAAACATGACACAAAGACAACATGACTTCCACGAACAAAGTGAGGTATCACACACTTTATCATTGTAGTGCTGTTAACATTTTCAGTGCATTATGTGATCACTAAATAAATACCTAAATCAAAATAAGTGTGTCAGCATCTTATTTAATAATCTATTTATGCTAACAAGATACCACATTGATCTGACGCACTAAAATATATTTAGCTACATATATTGTAGTTACATTTGTGAAGATTTTAAAAGTGTATCATAGCATGTTATGTGATGTGTGTTCAGTGTTGCGAAGGTTACTTTTAAAATGTATTCCACTAACGATTACAGAATACATGCCCCAAAATGTATTTTGTAACGTATTCCGTTACGTTACTCAATGGGAGTAACGTAACGGAATACTCTGGATTACCTATTATATTATCATGCTTTTTACAACTACATGAATGTACTATTGCTGTGTGAATTCTTACTTTTACTGAAGGTATTCGCCATACCAATACTGACTAGATTTTTAAATCTTAATATAAAATGAGTAACAGTAGGGTGGACATTAGGTAAGGCTGCACTTTTTGCAGCGATCTCGTATATAAAACAGGTCCGCGGCTCCGAACCGTAGTAAAGGGACGTCTGGCTAATACGTCAGGTTCCATGTCGGGCTCATAGCCGAAAAATAGCTTTACTTTGTTATCTTGGTCAACTTTGCTTGCGAGAGACAGAGAGAGGCGTTGAAAGGCTGCTCCAACGGAACTTATTGTTTCAGAGAAAAACACGAAAAAAGTGTACAGTCGAGTCTTAATAGCTTACTTACAGCTGGGCTCGTCAGGCACTCTTTTTGGCTGCAGTGGTTATTATTATATTTACATGCTTCCAACTCCCGCTTCTGCTCCGTGACAGCTCGTACTTTTCCTTTTTCTCCCTCCCTCGCTCACAGACACATAACGGGTATGGCAGTCCATTCTCCCTGCTGCACGGACTACACTGCCCATGAAGCTAGATTCTTTAGGGCTATGCCTGTAACACTCTGCCTATTGCCTTCATATTAAATCATTTTTGTGAATATTTTTTTAAAAATATTTCTTCACATCATTATGCGGGCCGCAAGTAGAGGTGACATGGGCCGCGAGATTGAGACACAGGCATTGGAGCCTCTTAATGCGTGTTTTGTTTGGGGCATGGAAACCAAAATTAGAGAGGGCATTTCCATTAGCCGAACATATGAAACAGGAAAATACTGCTGTGTAATCCCTTTAATTCAGCTAAGTAACTGTATTCTGAATACCACCTTTTTAAACGGTAACTGTAACGGAATACAGTTACTCATATTTTGTATTTTAAATACGTAACAGCGGTACATGTATTCCGTTACTCCCCAACACTGCATGTGTCTTACTTTGGCCAGTTAGAGTGAAAACTGTTTTTTTTCTGCAAGCATGACTTTAAGGAACAAAGTGAGGCATCACACGATATGCAACATGTTTAGTGCATTATGTGACCACAAACTAAACACCTAATGAAAAATAACAGCCACAAGTAACATGGATTGTCAGCATATTGAATTTAGATCAAAGCACCTGAGCTGTGCTAAAGTTCACAGAGATGTGAGAACTTGAGTTGTGACTAAAGACTGCATGTCTTTGTCTAACATCAGCATTTCAATACTGAGTGCATAAATGTTTTTATTTTATCACACCAACTGCAAAAATTTAATCATATAACACTATAAAAAGAGTATACAACCATACAAAATAGTATCCATTTCCTGTAAGCTGATGTTTGCTGATTAAGATCGTGTGGTGACAACAGCATTCAAACAGATAATCAGCTACAGTGAGTGTGAAAAATCATTTGAAAAGAACAAACAATTTATTTGAGAAAAACACATCAGAAAACATGCTCATTTACAGTGTGTTTTTAAACGTTTTCACTGATATTTCTATGCTAAATACAAAGCTGCAGTCAGCACACAATGACATGTTTATGAATGAGGTGGAAGGTTTTAATAAATATGTAACAGCATCTTAAAAGTTCATTGATAATCTATTCGGGCCAACATGATAACAACCCTCCACCAAAACATTGAAAAAATGTATTTATATGATGCAACGAGATGTATGTGATAATAAGCATGTATGTATTAGTCTTCCTATCATTCTAATGAATAAGGGCCTCTAAGAGACACAATAGCAAAGCAGCACATATGACCAATAAACAATTTAACTTTTCTGTACCTACAAAAGGGTCAATTAAAAATATTCTAGTTAAACGGGTGAGGGTTTAAAAAAGTGTATCATTGCACGTCTTTGTGAAGTGTGTCTCACTGTGGGCAGGTAATGTGAAGGCTGTGGTTTTCCTGAAAGAAAGTTCTCTTGATAACATTTAATGTAGGTGAGAGTCAGAGCAGTCAGACTGCTGTAGTCTGTTCTGCACAGTCACATTGTTCTTTTAATCATGGCTGATCTCCTGCTGCTAGTCGTTCTCATGTGTAAGTTCAACTTCTTACCAGGTTCATTTGTTGTTCATGCCATCTGGTCCTTAATATGGGCTCACTCATAATGGCTGTTAGCATGTGTCACTTGTTTATGTCAGACCTCTAACACTAGTTGAAATTTTTAATCTTTTTATTGTTCAATTTGTTTTATCTTTTCTTTCTTCCTTCTTCAGATTCCTTTCATGAAATCAAAGCACAAGGTCAGTCTTATTTTCATGTTTTTATCCCTTCATCAGACGTTTGTAAGCGCTTTGAGTGCTCTGGGAGAGCAGAGAAAAGCCCTATATAAGAATCGGTCATTTTTTTCTGTTTTGTCTCCAGAGCTTCTCCACAGTAACTCAGCTTTGCTCATCATGAATACTTTTTGTAATACTACCATACACAGTTAATATTATGTTTCAGCAATATTTATAGAGTTTATTAATATCTCAGTGCTCACTTATACACAATAGTTTATATATAATGTAAAATAAGTAATATGGATGTAAATCTATTTAAATAATCTAACTTATACTTTAATTTTTCAGACCTTCGTCCACCTAAACTGACAGTGAGCCCGCTGATGATCACAGAGACAGACTCAGTCACAGTGAACTGTCAGAATCCTCTTCCTGTCTCTGCGTGTTATTTTCTCATTTCAGGAGATAAAACTGCCAAAACAGTTCCTTGTCTGCGGACTCTGACAGGGTCTCAATTTCTGTCATGGATACATCAAAGTTCACCTGTTACAGTTGAACTGACCTGTTATTACACTTTTATAGATAAATCTCCAGTGAGTAACATGTCAGCACTCATCATACAAAGTGAGTAAATGCTACTGCAATGTACTCCCTGAGTGGTTTCTATTATTACATTTTATTGTCAAGTAAATAAAACCTTGGTTTATTTAACTTGAGAAATGTTTGCATTTTTTTAGCCCCCCGTCCCAAACTTAGAGTGAATCCACGGATGAGCATAGAGCCATATTCATTTACAGTGAACTGTCAGACACCATCTTCTGTTAATGTGTCGGAGTGTTTTTTGTACTTTACGAGAAGAAGAAAATCTACGTCCATCTCCTGTCAGCAGACACTTACAGGAACCGAGCTCCTCTCTATGGCACAGCAGAGTTCACCTGCTGAGGTTGAAGTGACATGTTTTTACAGCTCAGAGCATAAAGGAGGACAAAACCAGTCTCCTCACAGCAGCATATCTTCCATCAGCATACAAAGTAAGTGATTACACTGTGCTGCTCTATATTATGCCTCAGTGTAGGATGTGCAAATGTTCTTTAGTTTTTTAAAACTAAGTATGACGCTAAACCTTGATGTTTATAGAGCTTTTTTTTTTTTTTTTTTTTGTTAATTGTAACATAAATTAGGAGGGATGTCCAGTTTTATTCTTGCCAACTACTTGAAGTGATTTAAGAAAAAATTTCTAGTGAGTAAATGACAGCAGTCTGTCACGGCGGGGTGCACTGGTGTGAAGAATGAGGCAGACCCAAGAGACAGAACTAGGTTTCCAAAATAAGGCAAGCCTTTATTGTGGCTGAAGGCATAACAAAAACACTAGGGAACACTGAAACTGGGAAAACTAAGAAGACAGAGAACACTGTGTAAACTAAAAAGGCTAAGACACTCTGTGAAGGAACTATGGAAAAAACTATAAACACAGAGTAACTAAGCAGGCTATGAAACACAGTGTCACAATAAGGGAAACTACGAAAATACGAGGTGAGGATAACAGACAATCTGACACTGACACAAAGACATACTGGGCTTAAATACACTGAGGAAGTCATCAAGGAATTAGAGACAGAAGGGGAACACAGCTGGGAGGAATAAGACCTAATAAGACAGGGGGAACAAAGCTAGAAAAACTGACATAAGACAGGAACATGAACCGTCAGAGTAAAACAGGAAACAAGACACCACTAAACAAAAACGCAGACACGACACAGAGAGACAGACTAGACACTGAACTAAACCTGCAATAAACATGAGAACACGAAAACCTACGAACTAATCCCTAAACAAGAATAACCAAAACATAGAGTCATAATCATCATCATAATGAGAAAAGAATCCAAAATGCAAAAACACACCAAAACATAACAACTCAAAATACTGGGTCAAACTGACCCAGAACTGTGACAGCAGTCATCACATAATGTGAGTAAATAATACAGTGATGTACTAATTAGAGATGGCACATACCACTTTTTTATGTCCAATACTGATACCAATATCATAAATTTGGATATAGAATAGAATAGCCTTTATTGTCATTGTACAGAGTACAACAAAATTGGAGTGCCACTCCCTTGGTGCAAGTTTCAATAATAAATATAAATGTAAAATATAAAAATAACAAAAAAAACAATCGTAAGTACTCAAACAATAGTATGTACAATATATACAGGATAGCAGCATTAATATAATGACAGTATGAATAGCAGCATAATATAATGACAGTGACGGTATGGAATAGGTTCAATTGTTTTTGTGCTTATTTACTACGGTGATAGCTCTGGGAAAGAAGCTATCCCTGAATCTGTTTGTCCTGGTTTTATGTATATAAATCCAATATAGCGTATTTTATAATCAATAAAATGTTTTTTTATATCTTGCTGCATTTTGTATAAGTTCATACTCAAGTATAAAAATCAAACAAAACTAAAGCTATTCTGTTATACCTGTATGCAAAAAATACACTGCACCCAAAATATTTCATAGTTCAGCAATACTGATCAATCTAATAAACTTAAACCTACACCATCCTCCCTATTCTGGTATTTTAAAGAGTACTTGGCGGAAATATTAAGCAACCTAACTAATAGGGTTGCCAACTCCAAGCAAAAAAAAAAAGTAGAGAACCACGGCCCACCCTTCGCCTCATAATGCTTAATTGACGTAATTAACTTTAATTTAATGCACGTGTAAAAAAAAAATGCACAGAAATCAATAATTTTTCTACAATAATTAAATAGATTCAACATCTTTCTTCAATAGAATTGCAGACTGCACAGATGGCATCTTCCAAAAGGAAAAGGTACTATAGCTTAGTAGGTTATAAATTTGACTTAATAGTTCCTATATATAGTAATGGATTTCTATACATTTTACATCAAATTAAAACTTTGGGTGTAAGATTCAGATATGTATTTATTAAAAGCTAGACATGACAATTAGAAATAAAAGTATGTTTTTGTGCCCCCCTTTCCCTGTTAATGCCCTACCTGACCCCCTGGAAAAACTTTGCTAGATCCGCCCCTGCACAGTTACCAGCTGTCAGCTACGTAGAAAAGGATCCTGGTGTAGAAAGTAATATTAAATAAATTCTAACAACAGCTTATCAAGCTTAAACGTGCTGCTGTTTTTTATCCGCTGGTTTCCTCTTTCTGGCACAAAGTGGGGTTATAAACTAACAAGAGAGACGGGACTCGCGATAGACAAGCCAATCAGCTGATCATTGATCAGTTTCATAATTGAAGTAGCAGCAGGAGAGGGAGAGAATGAGAGGCAGTCCCAGCATTCACTGGGAATTCTTTACAAACATTTAGAGATAAACTTACACACTTGCTTTACTTCTCTGGGATACCTGTCTCAGAGATTAAATGCTGATGTTGTGCAAAAAGTGATTGTCTGCCAAAAACTGATTTCCGGTATTTGCCAAAAACTGATTGCTCGTATTTAAACTGCTATAAGTAACTTGTTGTGTTATAATATGTGAAACATATGTCAAATGCATCCCTTATGGATGACATAAAGTCATCTTGAGCCACAAACAACATTCGTGTAACAAGGTAGAAGCCGCAATCAGTTTTTGGCAGTGACTTTTATATAACCTTTATTTATGCAGTTAAAAAAAATCTCATTAACATTTGTACACGTTTGTAAGAGTAAGCTGCCCAAGAGGACAGCAGAAATGGCAGCAAATATTACAATAGTTCTGTAAAAATATTTTAAGTGGGGATAAATGACCAGATTGGTTATAATGTAAGTACAATAACACAGAGTTGTAAAGATACTTGAAAAACAGATAATTTTTGTAATTCTATATATAACCCCTTTGTAAACCCTGTTCACCGAAGTCTATTTACGAACATACGTACAGATATCACACATAAAAAATACACAGAAACATTGAAAATCAGTTTTTGGCAGCACGCAGCGAGGCTCCAAATGCTCAACCAGACCGCCGACAGGTCTTGCACGCCACAACCAGTCTATCACGTGATGCATACTCATCTGATGTTCTAAGGTTATGAGCTGGGTTACGCTATGTTGCAAGTTTTGTGAGGTGCTTTTGTGATATTGAATGAATCGGATTACAGTTTTTATTTCTCTCCGATATCCGATCCAGTAATTTAGGTCAGTACCGAGTACCAATTTGTGAATGTTAAGCTACAATATCAGTACAAAACAACAAAGCTGTTCTCAACTTTGTAAATGAAAGATTTGCATTTTTAATTAAAGAAATGTTTCTGTTTTTAGCTGCTTGGCCTGAATTGACAGTGGATCCACGGATGATCATAGAGACAGACTCGGTCACATTGAACTGTCAGACTCCATCATCTGTTAATGTGTCGGAGTGTTTTTTGTACTTTATGAGAAGAAGAAAATCTACGTCCATCTCTTGTCAGCAGACACTTACAGGAACCGAGCTCCTCTCTTTGGCACGGCAGAGTTCACCCGCTGAGGTTGAAGTGACATGTTTTTACAGATCAGAGCATAAAGGAGGACAATACCAGTCCCCTCACAGTAACATATCTTCCATCAGTATAAAAAGTAAGTGGTCATATTATACCTCAGTACAGTCTGTGAATATATTTTTTTGTTTTTCAAAACCAAAGAAGAAAGCTAAAAGCTAATATTTATAAATCTTTATTTTATTTAAAGGATTTTATGGAAGGATGTAGAGTTTTGTTCAGAAATAAAATGCCAAATGACTGAATTAATTTAAGACTTCATTTCTAGCAAGTAAAATTTCTAAAGCAGTTTCTATTGTTAGATTTTATTTCAAAGTAAATTCACAATTTTCCTATTTAACTTAGCCAAATTTTTTTTTTTAGTTCCTTGGCCTGAACTGACCGTAAATCCACGGATGGTCACAGAAACAGAATCAGTCACAGTGAACTGTCAGACTCCATCTTCTGTTTCTGCGTCTGAATGTTTTTTGTACTTTATGAGAGGAAGAAAATCTACGTCCATCTCCTGTCAGCAGACACTTACAGCAACTGAGCTCCTCTCTATGGCACAGCAGAGTTCACCTGCTGAGGTTGAAGTGACATGTTTTTACATGTTACAGCGTAAAGGAGGACAATATGAATCTGCTCACAGTAATATATACTCCATCAGCATACAACGTAAGTGATCATACTGTGCTGCTCTGTATTATACCTCAGTACAGTATGTGCATATATTTTTAGATTTTACAAACCAAAAAGAGAAGCTAAAACCTGATTGTTTATAAGGCTCTGTTTACCTTGTAATGTAACAGATGTTAAGAGGTGATACATAATTTGATTCTTAAATAAATTGCGTATTTGTTGAATTGATTAAAGACTGTCCAGAGAGCGGAATTCTGAGCACCAATAGATGTATTTATACTGCATTCAGTATTATGCACTGACATCAGACGGCAGCAAAAAAATATTGTTTTCATTTTTGTTGTGGAAGTTTTAACAATAACCTTCAACACACCCAGTGAGCTTGATTTGAAGTCGGTTTAATAAACACATTGGAATGTGGAGAGAAACATCCCAGCCAAACACTAGGATGATCTCTGAAGTTTGTGCGGGGTTGCTCATCTTATATACCCACACAGACACTCTCAAACAAAGAACATTAAACAGCACATCATATATCCCTTTGCCTTCAGTCCAGCTCATCCTTGACCCCCTCCCACTCTAAGAAAAGTTACGACCACCAGTCACCTCCCTTGAGCAGGGTGCCCTCTGTGAAGGTGCAATAAATATGGGCCCCACTTGTGATAACATTCTACATGCATGCATACAACTGGTGACAGGAGTGATCTTGCTATACTAAAGTGATATGGTTGAAATATGTGATTAATACATCAGAAAAGAAATCTTCGACCACATTTAAAGTTTAATGTTAAGTGTAAAACATTGACACTGTGCTGTGGTATGGCAGTATTGCAGTCATGAATGGAAAATGCCTTTTGTGGTGAATCCATAAGAAACGAAAGTAACGGAACAACCACAACACCATCTTCTTTTATTGCAGCAGAAAAAATCACTTTGACCTCTGCTCCTCCTCTTTCCACGAACTTTACAAGTGACACAATCAGGAGAAGAACAAGTATTGGTAAGAATTTTATAAGTGAATAAAAAATGTCTAGGTCACTTCCTGCGGAGTGTATTGACACCAAAGACATCTTTAGGTGAGCAAAAGTTCCTTAATCTTCATATTAGTCAAACTAAAACCATTTTGCCTTTGAGTTTTAGTAAGTGTTTGTTTCCTATATGTCATTCAGGATGCTCTAATGCTTTTAGTGCTTTATTGCTTAGACAGTAAAACAGGTTGTAAAGATTCTGTTGTAATTTGACAGTAGTTGTCTTCCTTCTTCTCTTTTAACAAAGTGGGAAGTGAGACTGACACTTTTTTTTTATCATCTGTGTTCCTAGTAGCTTCTGCTCTTAAACTTCTACCTGTAGTTGCAACTGGTTTTGGTGTAAGCGTGGCTGTCATCTCACTGGCAATGACTTTTGTCTGTGTGAAAAGAAGAAGTGGTAAGCACAGTAACATTTCCTTTTGTCATGTAGTCTGAAACCTTTTCTATATGTGTTTTTATAGACTCACACCCTATCAAAGGTCTACAATTTATTCAGAAACAGTCTGAAACATTTCTGTCCTGATCTGCTCACACAATCTTGTTAAAACTTTGTACACTAAATCAGCCAACTCCTCACGCCTTATGTTTATTTACTGATTAACTGTTTACCTCCATATCTTTGACTTTTCTTCAATACTTGCACTCTTTCCCACAATTTTCAAAAGTGTTTATTCTGCAGAAAATGTTCTGCAACAATGTTATATGGATCAGTATTATTGCTGCAGATCTTTAACACTTTTAATCAGATCAGAAACAAAGGCCTACATATTGAAATTTATCTGTATTTTTATAAATATATATTTAAAAGAGCTGGATTAAAATGCATAAGAGCTTTGTTGAAAGTCAGCGTTAGCTTGTCCAGAACAGAAAACAACCTGCTGCAAACGGCATGCCTCTCAGTTTGACAAGCTCCAGTTAACACACCCATGATGCCTAATTCCATACAGATTTCAGTGGCACTGTTATCAAGTGGCATTCTGCTTCCCGAGTCAATAGACAACTGCTGCCACAAAATGGCAGTTTTTTTTCCCTCACACCTGTTTGGATGGATGCAAACAGGTATGAGAGAAGCTTAATGACAGATTGCTGTTTGAGGTGAAAGCAGAGAGATCACTTTACTTTGGTATGTGCTAACTAACAATCACTTGACAATTAATGCTTAACTTAATGCTTAAGCATTAATGCTAACCCTAACACCCTGTGTGGATCAGCGTGCTTGTATTCAAATGGTTTCCACATGTAATGGTCTGCAAGAGGATGTAGAGAGCCATAGCCCCGTCCCCCAGGGCATGAAGCAGGCATGGAGGAGATCCATGCCTGCCTGCGTCTCTCCGTATGTATTTCCCCGGACCTCCCTGCATCCTCGTTTCTGGTTTGTCTTGTTAGTTTACCCAGTTTAGGTTTCCAGTTTCATATTTTGCCACCATTGCTGTTTGTACTTACCCACCCCTGTAAATAAATACTCACCTGCACCAGAGCTGCCGCCTTTTTGGTCCTTTCTACAACTCCACACGGCTTGCCCCGGCAAACCGTGACACAGAGTTTGAGTTGCTGAGATTTTGCTCCCATCCTTTTGCATCTGAGAGCAGAGGAGGATGCATTCTCTTTGTCCAGTGTGTGTGCAATGTACCTAGAATATGCATTTATGTGACCAGCTGTTCTACTTTGCTAATCCAACTAGAGGTAGAGCTCTGTCTAAACAGAGTCTGTCCACTGGTTTATAGAAGCTATCTCACTGGCGCCCAGCTTTATCCCAGGTGTGAGAGCTCAATCCACAAGGGGGATGCCCCTCATGGGCTCATTTTTTAAGGGCTGCCTGTAGCTGATATTTGTGCAGCCGCTAGTTGGGCATCACCGCACACTTTTGTGCGGTTTATCGATTGGACGTTACAGCCCTTTTGGTTGCTCATACTGTCCTTTCTACTGGGTCTACTGCACAGTAAGGTGGTGGTGGTATGAATCCAGTTTGGTGGCTGCTCTGCAGGCTGTGTATATATGTCCCATACTTATATGTTTTACCGAGTGAATCGACTGAAAGGGAACGAACAGTTATATCTATAACTTCTGTTCCCTGAAGGAGAAGAACGAGGTACAACACAAGGAGGCCCCACTGAGAAGCTTGGCTCAGTGAACAGCTGCTATCAAACTGAGAGATGACTATGATTATGCTGTGTGCATGTTATTACACGCCATCTGCCTTAAAGGAGTGAATAAAGGATTCTTCAGCCAGGACACACGAGGGTGTGATATTCCATATATATGTGTTGTACCTCATTTCTCTTCAGGGAACAAGTTATAGATATAAAACTGTTTGGGGTTTTTTCCACCTTTTTGTTTGTTTTTTTTATACTGAGTTTTATTTTGGCTTTTGTTATAGGTGACTTTTCAAGCACAAGAAAAACTGACCGAGGAGGATGGGTACTTTAAAAAAATACATAAAATTCATTGTGTCTACTAATAATTCAGATACTTAATTGCAGGTCATTCATGACTTCTCCTCCTCTCCATTTCTTTCTTCCAAGATGTCTTCAAATGAAACTGAAGCCTACAGTATGACCAATTTTGTCCCTTGTGATGACCCAATGAAAGGTGAGCCGCTGCTTTTGTGCTCTCAGGTTTCCTTTTTTAAAATTTTGCTCAGTTGTATAACAATTAAGATTATTTTGATGAAAAGATTTAAACAAGGCAGCATGGTGGCACGGTGGTTAGCACTGTTGCCACACAGCACGAAGTTCAATTCCACCATCAGGCCGGGGTCTTTCTGTGTGGAGTTTGCATGTTCTCCCCATGTTTGCATGGGTTCCCTCCGGGTACTCCGGCTTCCTCCCACCGTCCAAAGACATGCAGCTTGTGGGGATAGGTTAATTGGATAATCCAAATTACCACTAGGTGTGAGTGTGCGAGTGAATGTGAGTGTGAATGATTGTCTGTCCCTGTGTGTTGGCCCTGCGACAGACTGGCGACCTGTCCAGGGTGTACCCTGCCTCTCGCCCTATGACAGCTGGGATAGGCTCCAGCGCCCCCCGCGACCCTGAAAAGGATAAGTGGAAGCAAATGGATGGATGGATGGAATTAAAAAACAAACAACATGTTATTGTATGAATATCAGAGGGATATAATACAAACAAAGATCAACGTAGCCAGGTTTTCTTTGTGTTAGTGGACTTCTAAAATTCTAAAACCCCAGGTGGAGATAACAGGTATCATGACAGTGGTTTCACTTTTCACCTTTCTAAACCCATTTTTTTCTTCTTCTGCTGCCTCAAATAGAAAGAGTGGGCAAGAGTAGGTCTAATGCTGCAAAAAATAGTTAGGCCTACTTTGCACATGGTGATTTAATCACCTAAAGCGCATAGTGCAGTAAAATAGACATTTTAATCTATTTATATTACTGCTTGGTGTAATCTTGGTTCTGCTGTTTATTTGTGACAGCTGTGCTGAAAAGCTATGAAGCTTGCGACAGCATGCAGTTAAACAATAAAGCAGACATGGGAAATTTTGTAGTTTGTCACCAAATCAAAGTTACATTCATCTTACTGATCAAATATATATATATTTCTATATATGGTCTAGACTAGGTAATGTGTTCAGCATAGGTTAACATAGCGATGTAAGTGATAAAAAAAGATCCACTTTTGTGACACTAAAATCTCTGACTTTAGATTCAACTTTCCTTGCTAACCCAATAACATTGTTTCATAATACAGTCCTAGACCTTTTCCTATTTCATACACATTACATTTTCATGTATAGACAAATTGAAACAAAGGTAATGCTGATTCTGTCTTACAAGCAGGGTCTAAACAACTGAACAGACAAGAGTATCAAACTGAGAATGTAAGTGAGACATGTGCATCCTCAGTATTGAATATATTTACTACAGAGAAGATATAGATGCAAATAACTTTTGCTCTATTTTATTTCTAGATTTCCACATACCACGTGTACTCCACCATCCCCGAGGAGCCAGATGAAACACCTACAATGAAAACAGACCTGGCATACAGCACTGTAGAGCTACACTGAAGCACATTAAAAAATACTGAATTGGCAAAAATCAGAAGATAAGACAAAATGGCCACCTGGTCAACCAGACATGGATGCAGAAACTAGAGTACTGCATGCAGACATTGCAGGAGGAGATAATAAATGTAAAGCCAAGTAGTTTCTAGAGAGCAGGGAAGATACAGTATGAAGTACATTGCAGGAGATTTCTATGCCGCAAACGATTAAGCTGCGTAGATGGCTAATCTGTATTTACATGTAAACATGTTAGTAATTTCTGTTTAAACACTTTTGTGTGATAATTTCATGTTGGCTTGAAATAAAACAGCTCGCTCTGCTGGTACTGCAAACTTCCGCATGCGTGTCTATTTAAAACTTCACATATCCCCTCATTAAAAAAATTATACGCCTTCCAATAAAAAAGGTTTATTTTAAAAGACAAAACTATCCAGACCAGGCAACCATCTTCTCCTGCGCTATCCAATTTGTTATTCAAAAACTGGCAATTATTACTGTTGGGTCTGTGTTTCCACAAGCTCCGCTAGTTTAGAGACTTATTCATCATGAAGAAAACAAGAAATAACAGGACATCTTCAACCTGCTAGCGAGGGAAGCTCTTGGAGCTCACGCTCCTAATCTGTCTCCAGCCCAAAATCCTTCAAAGAGCAGCTTCCCTCGCAGCTATTTATTGACAAACTGTTACACACAATACACATCACAGCACCTCCCTCCGTAAAACCCCCCTTGGTTACAAAATCAAGGCACTATGTGTGTGCATGTGTATGCATGTGCAAGAACATGTGTGTGTGTGTGTTACCTCCTGCTGACCAAAAAGGTCATAAAAGCAGGAAGCAACATCACAAGAAACAGATCTTTCAGATAGGATGTTTCTGCAATAAAACCTCCCCCAGCACAGAGTGGCTGGAGGGATGCTCAGGATCAACGGAATGTCTTGTTCCTACTGCTTGAACCAAGACTGTACAAATTTAAGAACATAATGACAACATTCAACAATTAGACTTAACAATTACCTTCCACCAGCGATGGGAATTAAAAGTAATGGCATTACTAATGGCGTTACTTTTTTCAGTAATTAGTAGTTTAACTAAATACTATTTCTATCATTACAACGACGTCACTGTTACTAACAAGAAAATGCGATGCGGACGTGTTACTATTTTTCAACACACAAACGGTTGAAGCTAACTTCAGTTTACCAGGTGCTGGGGGAGCGTAACAATTGCATGTTACGCACGAGTGCTGCATGTCCTGCTCTTGTTTAAAGGTGACTGTTGCTCCTAATGCAGTGGCTGACTTTACTGAGAATATGTCCTCGGGGTATGATGGAATAAACAGCGCATCTTTCAGCGATGCTTTGCTGAAATCAGGAACACCTCTGCATCCCCCCTCTATTGGGCGATGCCTCTGCACTGGGTACCGTCTGCCAGTTCTACGCTGTGTGTTTCTGGTCTGAATGCCTCGTCGAAGCTCTTGAACTTGGCAATGTTGTTAATGATGTGTGAGTGTGTGATGTGCAATTTGGTCTAAATGGCGCGACTAAAAAAAATTGGTGCCTACAACCATTTCAGGAAAAAAAAGGCTCCATGTGGTCAACAACAGACACACATTATGTCCATGTCACTTTGTATATACATATATCTTACTGATGTAGGCCAAAAATAAATACATAATATATCATTTAAATGGCCTGTATTTGTATAGCACTTTACTTAGTCCCTAAGGACCCCAAAGCGCTTTACACTACATTCAGTCATTCACCCATTCACATACTGGTGATGGCAAGCTACATTGTAGTCACAGCTGCCCTGGGGCGCACTGACAGAGGCGAGGCTGCCGGACACTGGTGCCACCGGGCCCTCTAACCACCACCAGTAGGCAACGGGTGAAGTGTCTTGCCCAAGAACACAACGACAGACTGTCGGAGCCGGGGCTCGAATCAGCAACCTTCTGATTACAAGACAAACTGCCAACTCTTGAACCACGATCGCCCCCTTTAGTTTAAAGGTTAATTTGCAAGACACAAAAACAGACAAAATTGAAAGTTACAAACGTATTGTGCACGGGGATCTAGAGTGTGACCAATTTCAATGGTGCGACTAAAAAAAATCCTTGGTCGCACCGGTGCGACGAGCAGTTCCAGTAAAAAAGAAAAAAAAATCTCTGCAAATCTGAAAGTCTCTGTGTGGTCAACAACTGACACACATCATGCCCCTATCGTCTGTCCCAATCAGACATAATCAGGGGAAGGACCTCTCCCGTAGTCCTGTGTGTATGTTTGAAAGTGCAGGTGTAAGAGGGCGGTGAGTAGCTTTAATAAAGAGATATTGATTCATTAAATCCTGATTTGACTTTTAAATATAAATGCATTTTGCCAGAAACGCCAGAATCTCAGGTTAAAGCTCACAAAACTATTTCAACAACCAGCAAACAGCTAAAGCAGTAAATGAGAGCAGATAAATGGATTCTGGACAAAGTGTTAATTGTTCGCGACAGAAGTAATATTTGGTGTTTATTTGTCGGTAGCGGCTCCTGAAAAGCAAGTCTACCACACAGCTTTTGCTTTGGCTCTTGGAGTAGATGGATGCATCTTTCACCCTTTCCTTCCCCTTATCTTCCCTGCTGCAGCTTCTATGTCCTTGTCTGGTCTCGTCTCACTCTAACCCTGAGAGAGCCTCTCATTGTCGCTCTTGTTCCTTAAAACCTAAAGAAGAACTATGGATTTGATCAACTGGTCCCTGAATGCAATTGACACCCTCTTCTCAACGAGAAGCCTAGGATTGGGAGAGCCTGCGTGCCCTGGAGGGACTTCCCTGCCGGTTACACGATGGACAGGTGGCAGAAGTGGTGCATCGTGTGCCTATTGAGGACATCGAAGACGTCTACCTATTCGGTACCATGATAATGGGGCTCTTGCTGATCAGAGCTGGCTTTATCGGAAATTAAAGAAAGCGGTGAATGCTGTTCAAAACTCCACAAGGCTGGCTGCTTTGATTGAAAATGTGGGAAGACCAGTAAGCGCTCAGAGTGTTCATACTGAACGTACTATGGGAAAGATCTTGGAGGAGCTTATAGCTCTTAAATGGCAGATAAGCCTGGAGACCAGTGATGGACGCTAGAACAGCTGTAAAATTGAAGCAGTTTGGTTGCTCTAAAACAACATATCCATCATCTTCCATTCAGCTACCCCCCCCCCCGGACTCTGACGGTGCCAGCTGGATGCTCCTAAAGTTGACGCCAATGAGAACAACAACAATTCTTCCAAGAGATACGACAACGAGAGCGAACTGTCTCTCTTGCCTGATCCCTCAAGGCCACCTGCTTAGGCTTCGGACTATTGACCTTCGCATAATGGGTGAAAGGACACTTTTTCAGGATGAACACAGGACACACATACTGACACACATGACACATGTACACTGATACTGACACGCCCTCACCATTACCCCCCCTTTCCCGAATCCAACACCTCCTCCCACACTTACCTCCCATCCGATGTGGACAGCGGTCTAGCAGGAGGCACAATTGCAATATTGCAGTATCCCAGATGCAGCTGTGCACGTTGGGATTCCCCTCCATCTTGCTTGTCTTGTGCTTTTATGGTGTTACTGTATGATGTGACGATATTTCTGCTTTTTATGTGCTGGAGTTTTTGGTTTCTCCTCATGCTGATCCCTTTGTTTTTCCTTTTGCTACCTAGCCTGACCTGTCTCCCCAATACTTGACCTCAATACTTGAAATGTGCAATTCACTTGTATTTTTATTTTTTATTCCTATTTATTCTATTTATCCCCTTCGTATATTTTATTTATATTGTCTCTGTATTTATATATGTGTGTGTGTGTGTGTGTGTGTGTGTGTGTGTGTGTGTGTGTGTGTGTGTATATATATAATATTCTGTAACTCTGTAACTTCTGTCGGTGCTGTGCTTTTTTGGAAATCGAATTTCCCAGAGGAACCCACCCGAGGGATTAATAAAGTTCTATCTAATCTAATCTAATCTAATCTAATCTAATCTAATCTAATCTAATCTAATCAATGTGAAGTTTGTGTATTGTATGTACGGTCACGAGATAGAGAGAGGTAAAGCGATACTGATTCATTAAATCCTGAATCGATTTTTAAATATAAATGCATTTTGCCAGAAACGCCAGAATCTCAGGTTAAAGCTCACAAAACTATTTCAACAACCACCAAACAGCTAAAGCAGTAAATGAGAGCAGGTAAATGGATTCTGGACAAAGGCATTAAAAAAAGCGTGGACCCGACGCATCAGAATCACTGAGCTGTTGGCTTTCTCACCCGACGGCACGTATATACTGTCGGGGCTGAAAGCTGACAGCTCAAGGCCACACTAGCCCGGATAGATTTAAAAATTAGTGTTTTCAGTTGTTTTTACAGAGTTGTGTGTCCACATTGAAAATGGCCGAAGATGCTTACGTTCCAGTACTGCGCATGTGTGAAACACAAGACGATTCGGCCTTCCTCATTTCTGTCTGCTGTTTATTTACATTCGTTTGTCATTGAAACGTCGTGTCAAAATGTTTGGATGATTAAGGGTAGTGGCCACATATGGGAGCACAGCTTACACACATCAACCTAGGGCTGGGCGATATGGCCTAAAATTCATATCGCGATATAATTTGAAGCATGTGCGGTAACAATATATATCACAATATATTCTTTTCTTCTGTATAACGTATTTCCACACTATAAGGCACACTTAAAATCCTTTAATTTTCTCAAATATCGAGAGTGTGCCTTATGTATGAATTCTGGTTGTGCTTACTGACCTCTAACCGATTTGGGCGTGCAGAAATCTGTTGATAAATGTTTTAGTACAACTTTGGTAAGCCGCACTGCTTGATGGATTGTCAGAGCATTAGGCTGCCGTAGTGAGGAGCTTCGCGGAGTAATCTGGGTCCAAAACTCTGTCTACTTCAGGTCCCAAAGTCAAACGAACACTAAGAGTTAAAAACAGTCTAAATTCTTTCATCTTTAATAAAATCATCAGCGTTGCTGCTTTATCGGGTGTAACATTTAAGTTTAACATCCAGGCATCCATGAAAACAGAATTTATTAAATTTAACGGAGTTAGAAGTTAACAGGAAGTTTACACCTAAACATGACATACCATGTTCTGACTGAGAGATTTTTGAAACTAATTAAAACGTACAGCTCTGCTATCACTTCCAACATAAATGAAGACAGAAAACTAAACAGCAGTGGCATTTGCAGGGTTACTGAAGTTGGACTACCTGGTATATAATGTGCTACGTGAATGCTAGCGACACAGCTATGTTAGCATAACATTACCACAGTGAAGCTGGAGCATGAACACCAACAC